GGAGAGTACTGTTGCGTAGCTCAAAATGAGGCTGGAAGAGTCACATGTGCAGGATGGTTAACAGTTGAAAGTATGCTTCAATGTCTTTCAAGTTGTCTTCCCTTCTAAGCCTGATCGTCGAGCAGCCAAATGAAATAAGTTTTGTTAAAAGCATTTTGAATCGTATCCTACATCCTTTGAAATCTAAGAGCGCTCGAGCTTGTAGACGATAAACCCCTCCTGGGGTCTGTTTCTCGAAAGTTCCGGTAACCTAACAGGCCCGAAGCCATGTTTTAAAATCAAAATTTAGAGGATAGGAAAACAGGTTCTGGCACCCAAACTATTCCTTTTTGTTTCTTTAGCTGATACTTTTATTTCATCATTTTCAAAACTTTTGAAATCCCCATCTCGGGACTTTCGAGACACGGGCTCCTGATCACCAAAGCAGGCTAGCTATAGCTATTGAAGTTAAGGACTTCAAATGAACTTGTGTTTTTCCAGTTGAAAGCATCTTGTCAGAGGATGACGAAGAAACTGAGTCAGAAGATGAAGATGAATTTGTAACAAAAGAGTTTGTTACGATCAGAGAAGGCGATGTACAAAAATTCTACTGTATCGAAGAAGAGGTTGGCAGGTATGTTAAACGCGGGAGGGCTATACACCGAATGCAAATATGGCGGACCACTCGGGCGGACCGGGCCGAGCTGCGCGAAGTCGAGGCTAGTTAGGCCTTGATGTGTTTTTTTTTTTTGTTTTTGACAAAGCGTCAGTAGAAACTTTAAACACTGAGCGTAGTGATGGTCATTTTCGCGATGCACATTCATTGCTGTGTCCCTGAATGTAACCAAAGAGGTGTAAAATCGCCAACGGGAGAGAAATTATCTTTTTTCGAATTTCCAAATCAATCTTTACTGAGGAAGAGATGAATTCACGCAATCCGACGAGACGAAGGAAAACACTGGCAGATCACTAGAGACATGAGAGTTTGCTCTTTGCATTTTAGACGAGAAGATCTTAGAAAGTCGCTCGCTGGACGAACGTATCTTGTGGATGGCTGTGTACCGTCAAGATTTTCTTGGTCTGTCCCATCCCCAAGGAAAAGAAAAGCACCAACTGAAAGGCTGCCTTTGCCGATTCCCTTGACTTCGAAGAAGCACTTGTTTATATCCGACACTTCTTCTGAAGTCAAAATCGCGTCTTCAGCTGTTGAAAGTTCAAATGAAATTTTTCCCAGTACAAGTGGAGGCAACCAAACAAATGAACCCGATATCAGTGTTGAGAGTAACGTGGAAATGGATCAAGGAAAGAAAGTCGAGGATCTTCAGGCTAGACTTTTGCAATCTGAAAAAGAGCTTGCGATCCTTCGAAAGAAGAACGAGGAACTGGAAAGAAAGATTACCGAAAAGGAACAGCACCAGGAGACAACTCGACTTCGCGCAAGTCGGCTCGGTCCGGCCGAGTGGTCCGCCATATTTGCATTCGGTGTATTAAAGGTTTATTACTGTTTATTCATTGGACTTGAACTATTTTTTCTGAAATCCTCATGCGTTTACTTTCCCGATCTATGGCCCATCCTGCTTTTTTCCAGGTTATTTGAACCCTTTTCAGGTCTTTAATATCCTTTTAAAGCTTTGTAACCACTTCCCCCCGAATCAAATCCTGGAACTTTTACCCTTATCGCTTTGCAAAAAATTGTTATAGTCAGCCACACGACTGTTATTCACCGCCTCGTTAGCTTGTTAGAACGGGTGATCCTTGAATATTGCAGGCAAAACAAAAAAGAAAAACCCGATTTTCCAAATTTCATTTTACGCTCTGGTGCAATTGGCGAGTTAAAGCTAGTCCGTCTTTTCTGCTTTTTCTGAATTTTTTCTTCACTGACAGGACTTACTTCACCTCCGCAATCTCATTAACATAGAATAAATCTCTTCATAATTACCCAGGGGTCGTTTTGGCATTGTTAAGAAGTGTGTCGAGCTTGACACTGCAACGAGGTTCTGTGCGAAGCTTATCAAATCGCGACCCACACAGAAGTAGGAGTTTAAGCGTGAGATTGACGTCATGAACGCTCTTCACCATCCTCGGATCATTCGACTCTACGATGCTTTTGAAGAGCCCAGGCAGATTATCCTTATACTGGAATAGTAAGTTACCTTTTAAGAATCTTTTGCCATTGATCTTTAATTTGGCTTGCTGCTTTAATGAAGAAATAGATACTCAAGACATGAAATCTACCCTTGCCGAGCATGCCCGGTCAGGTTTATGCATATTTCATAAGTCCGAGTAGATTTGGTGGTGATGGATGACCTGCATCTTAAAAGAGAACTTTACTTTGCCGAGGGAATGGTCTGCCCAAAAGCGCGAATGTGCCTCTTTCAATCTTGATTCCTTCAATTTTCTTTCATCGATGGTTTGTCAAATTGATGCGTTGAGTGTATCGGTCTATATTCACCCATAACTGTGGTTGAAGACCGGCACTGAAACCTCTCCATCTCCAGCGAACAAGATAGTTCGCTCGTTAACGTTCGTATGGCACGATAGTCTAAAGTATCATTCCACAACATCCATCAAAGTGACTAGACCGTTCCAGCAGGGCGCGAAATAAACGTAAAACACTTTTTACAAATTCCTTGTTCTTTAATTCTTTAAAGAGTGATGCCCATTTGCTCTGTCTTTTACTCAGATATTTTACGAATTTTCCGGTCGCCTCCGAGAGCTTTTAAACTCTCAAGAAAATGTGGATAACGTTGGACCACTTCTACTCAGATAATGATTTGTCTTTTTTCAGTTGCAGAGGTGGTGATTTATTCAATCGTATTGATGACGATTCCCTTCCCGAGTTCGAAGCCGTAAAAATCCTCAAACAGGTTTTGGAGGCTGTCAAGTACATGCACGGCCTCGGTTTCATGCATTTAGACTTGAAGGTTGGCATTTCATTGTCTTTTTATCCTCCAATAAGATTTTTTCTTAAACAGCATCCCTGCTCGATTCGGAAGTCGAGTGCTCAACCAACAGCAAAACTGAGAAATCATCTTGGATCTAAGTCCCACTCTAACAAATGTCAACAACCATCTCATCGTATCCGAGCTTTATGCTATTTCACTACCAACTCTTCTATTCCAAAACTCGTCCAAGAAGCATTGCCACGGTTCTGCTTTCATTAGACCTAAATCTTTTTCCCCTTATTTTTGTCTCATTGCAGCCACAGAACGTGATGTTTAAAAGTGAAGGCGGTTCAAAAATAAAGTTGATCGATTTCAGTCTAACAAAGAAGTTTGATCCTGACCAAGAAACAAAAATATCATTCGGGACTGCTGAATACGTTGGTAATTTGACTTCTAACGATTAACAAAGTCACCTCAGTTTTATAGTCTGTTTGTCTTCTTTCTTTCTTTTGTAAAACGTTCACTTTGTGTAGATGGGCCAGGGCTGGCGGGTTTTTTCCTGTCTGTTTAGTATTTATTAAGCTCTTTCCTAGTCCCCTGTTAGTAGGAACGTTGAAGAGCTCACCTTTTTATATAAAGAAGTTGCCCAAGCAAGGAAACTCGAAACTCGAAACAAGGTTGGTCTCAAAATATATCTCAGACATCGTGCCATTCTTTCCACACAGCTCCAGAAATCGTCAACTACGAGCCTGTGACCTTAGCTGCAGACATGTGGTAAGGCTTTTAGTGATAATAGTGTCAATACTAACTCATATGCGATGCGATGCGATGCGATGCGATGCGATGCGATGCGATGCGATGCGATGAGTTTAACCTTTAATTTTTTTTTTTTCAGGGCGATTGGTGTAATTGCTTATATCATGTGAGTATATGCGGTATTGGATGGGAAAATATTATCACCAGTTGTTGAAAGCTTTAGATTGAGACCTTCAAACAGGTTTTTTTTCGGCCGGGACTTGAGTGTGTTTCTTAAATGAAAGAGTTCCAAAAGACGACTTACAGTACACAGCTATGCTTAAAAATTTGAATTGCTTGAAGCGCTTGCTTTTACCAATCTATTCAATTGGTTAAGCGCCGGACTGTTGTGCGGGAGGTCGAGGGTTCGAGCCCCGGCCGGACCAACACTCAGGGTCTTAAAATAATTGAGAAGAATATGCTACCTTTCTATAACATCGATCAAGAAATGGTTAGATATTCTAGTGGAGGTCCCGTCTCCTGCATCTATTAATTAGTTAATTTGGTTAAAGAACCCACTTCCCGAGATTACTGTGATGTGGTCTGGCTTGGTTACAGGGAATTGGGGGAAGGGGGCATCTGTTATATTCACCTTTATTTGATTGTAAACTGCTTAGCAGTCTGGTAAAGCCCCCCGTACAGTGTTGTAAAGCGCCATGAGTTCAAGATATGAGCGCTATATATATACAAGTTATTATTATATTATTATTATTATTATCATTATTATTATTATTACTAAATCAATCACTTTATAATAAAAACTTTATTTCGATGGTTACGCGACGCTACAGAATGAGGTGTAACAGTAAATTTCCACTGTAGGTTGAGTGGCGAGTCTCCATTTCTTTGTGAGAGCGAGGCAGACACTTTCTCTCGCATTACAGATGCACGCTGGGAATTTACAGACGTGTTTGATTACGTCAGCAAGGAGGCTAAGGACTTCATAAAGAGACTGCTTCTAAAAGATCCAAGGTATCTGTTGATGTTTGATTACATTTTATGAAATTGTAACGTGACTTACCGTCACGCGACCGACATGGAACTATCTTCGCCGACTGTAGAAGTGTCTACATATGAGCCTGCGTTCCTACGCTTTGATGAATCAATCCTTTAACTTTTCCCTTAGTGGATTGATTGTTTGGTTGTTTGCTCCCATAACGTTTTTGTATTGTTTTGTTTTGTTTTTTTAAGTCCATGTTTTGAAAAAAATGTAAACTTCACTTTTCGCTCCATCAATGAATTAGCGAGTGATTTGAATCTATTATCTTTCGATTGTTTTTCGAAAGCGCTTTGTTCCTGCCACTTCTTTTGTTTATTTCGTGGTGTTTGTTTTTAATCAAAACTTTTGATATTTTCTATTTTGGTAATGCACGCTTCTTACAGTATGAACTTCATCGTTATAAACTGTTTTCAAGCTCTGTCAATACCCTTTTTGTAGAAAACGAATGACAGTAGATGAGTGCCTGGGGCATGAGTGGATCAAGGTAAATAAATTTTGATATCAACCGTGGTTAACAGAGATGTGATGTGATGTTTAATAGGCCATTTCCGAAGTACCTTTAGCCTCTTTTTCAAAACGAGACTCAACCATTCGTGCGAAAATTAGTTTAGCTTTCCTTTGAAAGAAAACTTATAATTTTATGAAAGGATGAGCACCGGGACTCGCTTTGAAAAAGAGGCAAATTTCGGAAATAGGCTATTAGTCACGGCTGGCACAGAGCTGCAGTAACTTATTTAGACGAACTTTCTTTAATAGGTTTAGTTCGTAATATTGCAATGCATTTAACTGTCTCTATGATGACTTTAGTCACCAGGGTTTACTGGAAAACGGAAAAGCAAAATCTCCTCAGAGGTAAGTCGGTAAACAAAAATAATTTGAAGTTAATTTCGCTTTCTCTCATGTTGTTGCTTGTTTTGTTGCTGGTATTGTTTCTCCTTGAGGTTAACCTAAAGTATTTTATTAAAACCTAAAGTCAATTCCTTAATGTAAATGTTTATTCGGTTGTTCTTTTCTTTGTTCCTTCACTACTACGCCTATTTGTCTTTCAGTCTGTTATTCCATTCTTCCCTTCTATTATGTTCGTCCGTTCGAACGAACCTTTACTTTTGAATTTTATTTTCCATTTTCCCTATTTTTCTCAATCAACGACTTATTAATTGCAGGGTGAGTTGACTATCGACCAAAACTCAAACATCACATCCCCAACAGAACTTATGAGACAAGGTAATTATCGTTATTGGATTCAGTAGCGTGTAGATTGGTTGACAGTGTATGACGTTGGGTTATGATCTATGATTATGACTCTTATAAAGAGTAGTGTCTCACGACTAAAATATGTTTTCTATTTCGATGTCTGTAATTTGTTAAAACCTCTTAGTAGGTGGTAATCAACTATTCTGATTTTTTTAGAGGCCAAAAATATTCGAACCATTGGCCATAATCCATGGTCAAATTTAAAGATCTTTTCAATCCATGTTCCAAGCTAATGCCATGCTTCCATTGGTAAAGTTTTAAAAATTTCCTCCACGCATGTTATACGAAAGTCTCTTCGTCTCTACAGAGAGCGGAAAGTCTGAACAAGAGTTACCATTGGATCCAAGGAAATTAGAGTCTAAAGTTAAGTCACTACTATCAAAGTTACAAAACGCCGAAAAGGAAAACCAAGAACTGGAGGAAAAACTCCGTGACGAGGAAGACCGCGCCGATGTCCTGGAAGACGAGCTTCACACAAGTGAGAATTCTAGAAAGGTTCTGGAAGACAGAGTGTCAAAATTGGAAGCTGAAAAGACAGATCTTTCAAAGAAAGCCAAAGCTAACAGTGATGTTTTAAAGAGGGTGGCAGAGTCAGAAGGAGATAAGAGAGCCCTGGAAGACAAACTATCTGAGCAAACAAGATATTTAGAAACCTTATCACGGAAATACGACACTCTTAAGGAAAAGATTGAAAATTATGATATTTTAGAGGAAAAGGCTTACCTTTTGGAGAGAGAAAGAAAAGACCTCAGAGATGCTAAACAGTCACTAGAAGACAAAATTGGACACCTTCAAGCGGAAAAGGAGGAATTAACAAAAATGAACGAGAAAAATTCGTTGATCAATAGAGACCTTGACAATGAAATCGCAAAGCTTAAAACGGACAGAGACGAGATTGAAAATCAATACGTTAAACTGCGAACCGAGAAGGAGTCTTTGGTTGAGGAACTCACGAAGCGATTCAATATTTTAGATGAACAGAAAAGGTCTCTTGGACAAGAGAAGAGTAACCTAGAGACGAAACTGGGCGCATTTGAAAGTGAAAACAAGAATTTGAAGCTCAAACTGGACGGCTTAACAAAAGAAATGGAATCACTAAAAGAGATTTCCAAGAACAATGAGCAGGACAAAGAAAAAGATGAACTGGAAAAAGAATTGACTAAAGTTAAAATGCATAACGACGAAGCGAAGAAAACTTGTGAAGAATTGGCTTCGAAACTGAACAAAGCGTATGCGGAATTGGAACAGTTAAAGCCCGCAAAGATGGATAGTGCATCAGGTAGGTAGTATTTACTTTGACGAAGTCAGTTTATCAGTAAGGATTTATAAGGCTGGCACAACTTAAAAATACGAAGCTTACGCACACGTCCCAGAAGTTAGCCAACTAGTTGTCTCTGTACAAAGTGACGCCAGGTAATTGAGCTCGGAGTAATCGAGAACCAATGCAATGAGTTGCAGGTTGGAGCTTGGCAAATGAAAAGGGTCATGCATATTGCTCGGATCAGCAATTTCATACCTGTCGTGCGTGTCACCTTTCAGAATATAGGGGAATCCTTGTTTACAATATTTGCCTCATTAGCATAAGCAATTCAGTTTCTGATGGAGCTAAAAATAAATCAGTTCTGAATATCGAAAGGTCAAAGTACGATTAACTCGGCCAATGAATACGAGCCTGATGCATTGAATACTTTTTGTGCAACACGGGTTTAAAAACTAAAAATTTTACATAGAATGTATCAGCTCATTAGCGCTTTTGCCACCCAGAAATTTTGCAGTTTTTGATGGACTATTTCTCCTTGAATATTACACCCAAAGAGCTAAAAATTTCACCATGTACTAAGGTTTTCTAGCTCTTTAGCTGCCTGAAGTCAATTTGTATCTGACATGCTTCCTTCTTTACGCAAAGCCGTATGCAAATGAGCAAAAATGTAAACAATGACGTCAGCATGAATCCGCCAATAGGGAGGAGCGAGCGAGCGGCAGAGGAGAAGGAAGCCAACAACTTAAAATGGCCAAGTATAAATTCTCTGATAGTTGTTGATCTATCAAAACACGAATAACATGTTTAAATTGAGGGAGGTACATACAACAATTAACTTTTGTTGTTATCGATACTGAGAAAGTTTAAAATTTTTCGTGGCATTCGCTATCAATGCGTACAACTCCTTGTTATGTTGTACTTTAATACCAGTTCGTAGTTTTTACGAACCTTTAGGACTCCTAACCTACTGTTTTATGTTTGTTTGTTCGATTTTTGTTTGTTTTTGTTTCATTTGTCTTTCTTTTCCGTAGAGAATCACCAAGAAGAGATTTCAGCGTTGACGGAAAAGTTATCTTATTTAGAGGAAGAAAGGGATAACCTGGAAGATGATCTCGACGAGAGAGAGGCTGAAATTGTCGAACTGAAAGAGAAAATAGAACTTCTTGAGGCAGAGAACAAGGACAGAAGCAAAGACATAATAAATTACAAGTCACAGTTAGAAGCAGCCAATGAGGAAATTAAGTCCTGGAGGATGAGAAAGGACGGCACTAGCTCGGCAGCGCCTAAAGGGGACGAAGAAAGCCTGAATGAGAAAATGAAGGATTACGAATCTATGATGAGTAAGCTGATGAAAGAAATTTCTGCTTTACAAGAGAAACTTTCTGCAGCAGACCAACTTAACAAAAAGTTGGAGGAAAAGGTGAAATCCAGTGTACAGGTATGGATCAAGTATTCTGTTTTAAGCCTTTTGCAATATTACAAGATAGAAACAACAACAGAAGTGTAAATATTTATGTATAGAATGATACCATCGCATTACTTAATTGTTTTTTGAGTCATAGTGGCTGAACTGATTACATTATGAAAATATTCCTGTGGTGTTCAGTCTTCTTGTGGCCAAAAGGATGTTATAACATAACCAAAGTAAAGCGCGCGCTCTGATTGGCCAATTTAGCGTCCCCCATTTGCCCATGGGTGTACGCTGCTGACGTGAGCAAATGGAAAGACTATTTTTCCGCACATCAGTCCAGCGCTCTATCCATTGAGCTAACTGGGAGTAACATCTATGACTTTTTTGAGATTGTATAGTAATTCAGCAAATGAGCTTTAAGACTCTCTGACACAAATTTTTGAAAACGAATTATCTCAAATTTCAAATTAGACGAAAGGTCATCTCACAGGTTTTACTAGCCAATGTGGATTGCAAACGTCAGTTTTAAGATGAACTTATTTTATTATTTAGAAGGGAAATGTATGGTTGACGACGTGTTTTCCTTATTGACAGTAACTTACTATTTCAAGTTTGATAATCCATTGTACCATCTAAACAAACGAGCTAAAAGCTTAAATTAACAAAGATATTGCTAGAAAGTAAAATTACTTACGATATACAAAGGAATGTATCAATGTTATGTTATAAAACAAATGGTAAACACCACAGCGTACACTATTGAGTTATGGATGCACTTGGGAGGTTTGCTAAGCACTCAAGAAGCTAGTGTCGCTCTCGGCTATCGCCTCGATAGTTACGCTTCTTTCGTTACGCTTCTTTCGTGCTTAGCAACCTCCCGCGGGCATCCATAACTCAATAGTGTACGCTGTAGTGTTTACCATTTGTTAATTATAAATGAAAAAAAAAAGGCTTAAATACCTCTACATACGTAAAAAAAAATGTGTTTCCCGTCGAAAATACCAAAACGTCACAGTTTATCGAAATATAAGATATCTAACAGGGGGAGGGAAGGTACACAGGTTAAACTTACACTGACTATAGAAGAAGCCTCAAAGGTGCAAAGAGAAATCAACGATAGATTGTTATAATTGATGTTGATTACAAACTGCTTTATCTTAACAACATCAAGTCTATACTGGTTTCTGCTTTAATCATATTCATATTTCAGGCTAGTCTACCCGATCCTAACATGGTAAGCGAAATCATAGGAAGAAGTGAAAATACACTAGAATATTCGTCTATGGATTTCGATTACCTTGATGGTCTTAGTGGAGACAGAAATGATCGAAATGAAGAAATCTCGGTTAAAGGAAGAATCAACGACGATTTGAACAAAGAGGGAGAGAGTGAGAGGTTCGTCATGTTGAAGAGAGAGTTCGAGAAAGTAAGGAGGATGTCTGAGGATGCTGAGACAAGGTTAGCAGAAGAAATACAGAAGAATCAGACTTTGGAAGATGAGTTAGAAGATTTTGAAATTAAGGAAGAGAATGGTCTGAGAATGTACAGAGAGCTAGAGGAGGAATGCAATAGACTGAGGGCACAGCTGACTGACAGTGAATCATGGCAGAAGCAAGTTGAGATTCGACTGCGAGAAAATCTAAAACGTAACGAGGAAAAAACTGAAGCTCTGAGCAAGCAAGTCGATTCGTTGAAAAAACAACTCCATGTGATCAAAGAAGAAAGAGACAAAGGCGACAAACTTTATACGAATCTTTCTGAGAAGTACAGAAATTTATTAAAAGAGAAAAAGATCTTGGAACGGGAGAAAAATGAACGCGATGAAAGCGAAACGAAATCACGAGAACTTGAGGACTCACTGCAAACGCGAATTCTTGAACTAACGAACATGAAAGATGAAATTGAGTCCATGCGCGACAACCTTCGCTCACTGGTACGAGAAAAGGATGAGGGTATGAAGGAATTCTCACTGCTTCAAAAAGACCTTGTGAAGGCAACAAATGACCGCCAACAACTCGAAGAACAAGTTAAGGATGAAATATTCCGCGCTGAAAAGTTGGAAAGAGACCGTTTTATACTACAAGGCAAAATTGAAGAGATGCAGAAGAATTTGAATAAACGAGATCTGGTCGACGCGGCTAATAAAAAGGCGATAGACGCTTATGTCGATGAAATTAGACTTCTTAAGGACGAAAAGGGGGAGGCTTTTAAAGAGGTCGATAAGCTGAGAAAGGAGAGTAAAAATTTGATGCATGATCTTGAGAAAATCACAAAAGAAAGAGAAGACGTGGAAAGTCTGAAAATCTTCAAAGAGCACGCGATGAAAGAGATCAAGACTTTGAAAGATGAAAACCAACGCCTTCTTCAAAAAAGCGAGGATTTCGACCAAATAACAGTCGATCTCAACACTCTCAGGGAGGAAAAAGTGATTGGACTACAGCATCTGGGAACTTTAGAGGAAGAAAGGGAGAATGCGCTGAGAGAGATTGCAATCCTAAAAAGTGAAAATCACCTCCTTCTTGAGAAAACAAACCAGTTCGAGGAAATCAAAGAAGCCTTCGAAAGTCTAAAAGGTAATGCCGAAATCCTACGAGAAAACATCGAAGCTCTTAAACTCGAGAAAGAGGCCTCAGAGAAAGCAGTTGAGGATTTAAGAAAGGAAAACAATCTTCACCTAGAAAAAGTTGAGGAATGCGACAAAATGAAGGAGGATCTTGAAACATTGAGAGAAGAGAAAGTGATAGGACTCAAAGAGTTAAGCAGTTTAACAGAGAGAAATGCTTCGTTGTTGGAAGAAGTCAAGGCAATGGATGAACTAAAGAGAGAATGTGACTTCCTTAAAAGCAAGAACGAAAAGGCACTCGAAGAAAATAGGATCTTAACAGAACTAAACGAATCTTTAGTCAAAGACCAAGAAGGCGCTCAAAGAATATCATTAGAATTAAAGAAAGCGGAAGATGAAAGAGAAAGGATTTCCAAGGAAAATAGAGTCTTGGCAGAAAAATGCGATACTCTAAAGAAGAAAATAGAGGAGTTAACTTTGCTCAATGATGGTCAACTGATAGAATTAGGCAGGTTGAATCAAGAGTTGGACGACTCTGAGAAGGAAAACGAAGCTCTTGTAGCTAAGCTCGAATCTTTCCATGTTGTCAAAAAAGATTTCAGTGCTTCGTTGGAGAGCAACCAGAGACTTCAGAAAGAATCTAGAGATCTCGAAGTCAACTTGGAAACCCAAGCTTTGGAGGTGATGAGATTGAAAAAGGAAACAACTGTCCTAAAAAAAAAGAATGACGCTCTGACAAAAGAAATTGAACGACTTCAGGGAAAGAATGCTATCCTGGAGACCCAAACCTCGATAACACTCTTGGAAGAGGGTGAAGAATCAGAGCAGATTTATGAACCGAAGACCAGCGACACCAAAGGCATACGAAGAAAACTTGACGAATTAATGACTTTTGAAGAAATAGCAAATAACTACAGTGTCGAGGTAGAAAAGCCCGAAAATGTTAAACTTTCCAAGATTAACAAATGTAACGAAGCACAAGCCTTAAAAGAAGAAGTCAATTTCCTTCAGAAAGAAGTTGAAGACCTAAGTGAAGATCATAAGGAGCTTTTGCAGTCGTATAACACTTTACAAAAAGAATATGATCATTTGAAAGAAGAATTCGGCGTCCTTGAAAAGAGTTTGGAAATAAAGTCGAGAGAAATGAAAAGTATGACCGAAGTAAGGGATCTTTTAGAAAACACTAAGAATGAACTTGAAAATGAGCTGAAAGCTACCTCCAAAGAAAAGACCCAAGTTAGCAAGGAACTTGAGACTGTAAAAGGAAATTGTGACTCTCAAAAGCTCAGACTGGAGATTGCCGAAAAGGAAATTGGAAACTTATCTAAAGAAAATGAAGAACTGCACCAAAATCACATCGAGTTAGAAGAACGGTGTGGTCGTATCAGAAAACTAAACAGGGAACTCGAGGAAGACATAGATATCGAAACTGGAAAGCTCGTCGAGGCAAGAGAACGTATTTCTGAACTCAAAAAAGAGAATGCTCTTCTTCAGCAGAGGCATTTGATGCTGCTACATGAAATTGACAAATTGAAAGGAATTCCTGAGTTAAGTGGTCAAGAACAGGGCGGAGTGGCCAAAAAGATTAAAAGTATAGAGAAAAAGATAAGTGTTACTCAAATGCAGAAAGGCGATCAAGAAATTCGACCTCCCGAGGAGATGAACAAAGGCAAAAAGACGACAGAGAAGAACAAGGCCAAGGTTTCTGGAGATGAAGCACGAAAGCCTGAAGGTTGCGCGGAAAATGTAAAAGAGGAAAAGAGAACACAGCAAAACCAGGAGGAAAGAACAGTATGGGCACTAGAGCGAGAAATAAAGAACCTTCGTCCTCAGAAAGAACGAGCAGAGGCCTTAGCCAAAGAACTGGATCAGGTTAAACAAAGACTTGACAACGAAATAACAATTAGGAAAAGCAAAACTGAAGAGAGCAGCCAGAAGAAAAAAGAAAATGATTTACTAATTTACGAGCTTGAAAGCACCCGTCACAGGATTGTTTCAAATGTGATAAGTCTGTTGGAAGAAGCAAAACTTCCTTGGAAGTTTAGCGTGACTGCTGCCGATATATCAGCGGGTAAAAGCAAAGCATGGTCCAGCATTAAGGAAAGTATTGGAACTCTGATATGGGAGCGAGAGAGAATGGTAAATGAAAATGCGCTCTTACAGCAAGAGAATTCCAAGCTGAAGCGCGAATGTCAAGAACCAAGGAAAGGCAAAGAAAAAATCAAGGTAAGATAGTTTTGGTAGTACCTGAGTTCAGTGAATATAATTTCCACGGAATGAACTAGCTGTTTCTTTCCTAGACATTTGATTCTCCTCAGCGGTAAGATTTTTGATACTTTATTGAGTAACATTGCCTGCATCACATACGTGGCCTAATTCGAGCTGGATAAGAAGTTAATCAGCTCTTATTCTCTTTTAGCAATTTGAAGAATTAGTCGGTAAAGAACTTACTGATGAAGACATCCTCTCTAAACAGCAAGAAATAAAGGCTCTTCACGAGACAATAGCTTCAGACAAGGACAACTTGACACAGCTTCAACAACAGCAAAAAGATTTGCTTCTTAAAATCGAGTTTATGCAACGAATGCAGTCAACTGCTGATCAAGAGAGAGATCAGCTGGTAGCTAGAAAAAGCCTTTTTACATCAGACGGAAGACCGGGGCTGAACGCTCAATCAAGATTTAAACTTCGTCGATTTCAATCCGTGGAGAGTATTTCAATCCTGAAAGAACGGGATATCTTCGAAGAGAAGCAAGATCCTGTAGACTTTCCCACACAGACTCACAGAATAACAACACAGTGGAGTGGGAATAAGGGAAGGGAAGGCTCAACAGGCGAGGAACAACTACAAGTTGCACGAGAAATGGTAAAGAAAAATCGAAGAATATTCGAATTGGAGCAGGTTGGTTACCGAAGCGTAATGCACTTCTTTGCACCTGCACCAACCACTGGAAGATTCACCTTGTCACTCCACGCACGCAACCGTAAGCTAATGGCACTGGCACTGTAAAAGCTACACCCTTAAAAATGTGTACTATAGCTGCAATAAACATTAGGAAAGACGCAATTAATTTTAATAATTTCTGTAAAGAGCATGTGGTAGTAAGTACTTTTAAGGGATTATACTTATAGAAACGCGCTTCGTTTGTAAGGTAATCATTGTTTATCTGCACAATAGCACTTAAATTATTGAAGGAACGCACTTTAGTGGTAAAGTAATCGTTTTATATCTACAAAATCGCACTTAAATTATAAGCACTGTAAATGCTAAACAAAAACGTTAGTTGCTACTTGACCGGAAACCTTAACCACCGAGCCACCCTTTTCTAAAATTTAGGTCCGTGCGCTTATCTATCGTAATGCACAGTTACTCTAATACAACGAACGCTTTATTGCACAATTACTGACACTAGCTAGGGTTGCCCAAGAATCGACCCAACGTACTTTAACCATTCTTCTCCTCAAAAAAAAAAAAGAAAATCATAGAACAGCCACGGGGGGGGGGGGGGGGGGGAACTTAAAATTGGATCAAAACAAATCATTTTCCTTTGCACCTTTATTTATTATTCCAAAATGGTCTTAGCATTAGTCATTTGCACGGAAATTTTTCACCTTTCTCTTCCTTTCATTTCGAATTCAGCTCAAAGCACCAGGGACACTTCGTACTGATGATTTCCGTAAATTTAGCAAATAATTTTCAGTGCGTAACATAATGCACTCACGCCCTCTTTACTAGGAAGTTGATGTGCTGCTGACCAAAATGGTAGAATCCTCATCAGGAAACGCAGCAGGGGAGAAATTTTCCTCCGACGCAGAAAACTTCAGATTGGAAATTTTACGACTCGAGGGAGAGAACAAACGGCTGAAAGAACTTGCAAAGGAGCCAATACCTGCGTCATCGCAGAAAAAAAATGGAATCATTAGAAGCCATAAACAACTTTCTAAAAAGCGAAAAAGAAGAACTCATTCTAGAAATTTCTGCCAAGAATAAGAAAAATGAGCTTTTGGAGAAACGCGTGAGAGAGTTGACTGAGATGAAGAGTAACGTGGTAAATGGATCGAGAAGTGGAGTGTACGACGAGTCAGATTTGCAGATAAATGCATTAGATGAGGAACTCAGCAAGACCAAGCACAAAGTATCTGAGCTTGAGGTGAGAAACTGTTAACTAACTCAAAACTTTCTTAATTCTGTTGTGGCATTTTCCGGTTGAAGGTTTGATCGTTAGATTGTTGTCTGCTCTGCGAAAAATCAGAGAGCTTCGTGAATCCGAGGTTAGTTTAACCAAGGGTAATAGTTATACGAGTTTCGTTTTGTCGTTGCTGTTGTCCTGCCTATTTTTTGATGTTAGTTGATTCTACAGAAGTTAAACCGTCGGTTTATCATGTAGCTCGTGACATTACATTCAGAGAATCATTGAAAGGCTAAAAAGTTTTTCTGCACATGTACACTTTTTAGAGTAATTCGCCCTGAAAGTAAGAGATTACCGAAGTCATCATTAGAGACCTCAACATGGAAACTGTTCCCTTAAATTATTCTTTCCAGGCTGAACTTGAACATCTAAGAAACAGTCACAATTCCAAACTAAAGCGAGAGCTGGACGAAGTCGAGGCAAAGTGGACAAAACGTTTGAGGTATTTTTTTTCTTTTATTTTTATTCACAAAAATACTTATCTATAAACAGCGTGAAGTTCTGAAAAGTTTAATGTCACTCCTTTTTATACCAGGAAAGAGTGCATGGAGCTTCATTCAGAGCTATCGGAGAAACACAACAAGGAAAAACAGCTTTGGCAAAAGAAAGAAGTTGAACTTCAAAACATAGTAAGTTATTATCAACCACTCGTTGTGATTAATGCATCAAGTTATCATCTCATGCACGACCTCACTGTCCTATTGCTGTTGAAGCTCACTCCTATTCCCATCGCTTAAGTCACAAGGAGTCTCTGTAGTTTTTCAAAACGGTAACTGATTTAGTCCATCATAGTCGGGTAGCCAGCTATTTGTCAACTCTTTCGCACACGTAGGTTGTACATAATCATATTCCTGATTAGAAAGGGTGATGCCATCTCGAAGTGTCTTACCTTAGAACACAACGCAATGACCCTGGGCAGGGTTCAAACTTACACCTTTTGATGCATAGTTAAACTTGCATACCACATGGCTTTCACGTGACGACATGCCTAGAGTAAGTATTATTATATCTTTCTTAGGGAAAGCACTTTTAAAACCCTATGAAAATCACTTTACGAGAATGTTTTTTGACTATGAGTGCTGTTGTCCACCACTAATTTTATTAGCCCGTGTTTGCCGGTTGTTGTACATCCACATTACATTATGAACGTTAACTCTCACATTTTTCAAATCCAAGTCTGTCATTCTATGTTTGAATATATGCTTCTACTATGTGACTCAGTTTAAGAGGACCTTGAAAACATCAAAACGCTTCAATATTGGGAATCAAATAAACATCTGCTTCATCCCTTTTCAACCAAAAGAAAGTTAATGAATGATCGAAATTACTGTTTCCTTTCAAAGATTCGTCAAATGAAGATTGTGATGGACAAGAGATTAAGCCAAGCAGAAACTGAACGGAGGAAACTAGAACAAGAATTGATTAATGTGAAAACGTCAAGTCACCATGGTAACATGATAAGTCTCGATTCCAACTCAGATGATTCAGCTGGAGGTGTATCTCCAAAACCAGGGAAAGGCAGCGACACAGCTCAATCCGGTGTGTTTTTCAAACATATTTTTGTTAACAATTCTTAATCCACTAATCATTGCAATAGATGCAAATTCGGGATGTCACGTATGGGTTATCGATCATGATTATCCCCAAGTGTAGAACCAACTTCCAGGTTCTTTACCAAAGGGTACAATTTATTTCAATGTAGTCGGTCATAATCACCGGCCCATAGAGAAAAATATACAATTTCAAAGGCTTCATATATATAGAATTAGTTGAAGCTGTCGAAGAATCAAATGACGAGATGTATCATTTTGGGCATAGAGGGAAAGAATAATTAGCGATTGAAATGGGTGAGATCTCAGTGGGAAACGTTGGTCGTGCCCCTAAGATGGGCAGGGGCCATTAATGAGTTAAATGAAAAATAGCATTGAGACACTTCTTTTTTTCCATTTCTTTTACTTATCTCTCACAGATGGTCTGAGCGACCGCGAACTACGGCGAGTTGCTTATAAACTGAATGGAGAGGAGTGGTCTCAGCTCGGAACATTCCTTGGGGTGGGGGACAAGGATCTTGGTGAGCTTTCTGGACTAAGCATGGGTCCTCAGGAGAAGGCTTTTAAATTATTAGTCATGTGGAGGACTCGTTGTCGTTTGAGCCGAGCTCAAATGATTTCCCATTTAGCTGTGGCGCTCGAGGAGGTCAACAGAAAAGATGTTGCTCAGTTTGTTTTAGAGCAATTTATGTCTGGAAAACCTAGAAAAAAATTGTTTGGGTGGTGACTGTAAACCCTTTAACTGACTTTTAAACGAGTTTTAGTCCTTTTTGGATTAACTATCCTTGAGGTGATGGTGAGACCCACAAGAATGTTGTACACGTAAAATATAAGGTAGAAGGTCTTCGTGTTACGCTTGTTCCAGTGCCATCCTACTAGTTTAAAAATTAGACAATGTACTTACTCATATAGCATCATAGAGAAGTTTAAGTCGATGAAAATTGATTAATTTATTTTTCACCACATTAGTCAGATCAGAGCTGCAAAAGGTGAAGTAGTTGATTGTTGAATACTCTACAACCAAAAATTTATCCGAGCGGACCACAGAAGAGAATTTTTTTTTTTATCATAATGCACAAGCCAACGATATTTCAAGTGCCGCAGAGAACGGCATGATAAACAAGTGTCCAGAATGTATAAATAATAAATTATGTTAAAAGAATCACCTTCCGTTTAGTGATTCAGGTAAATTATTTAGAAAATGTTATAAATGTGGGAAACAATAGAAGAAATATATCATGTTTCAGAGTTAATTAGCTTATATGTTGTTCAATTATATTTGTACATAATGTTCTTAATATGAAACTGACCTATTCCATGCACTCTTCAAAGGCAGCTGTCAGTTCAAAAGCCGATTACTCAAAAAGCACCAATAGACATACAGAAAAAAAAACAAAGAGGATTGATAAAATAATATTAAGCCCGAGAAACACTATCAGACACCCCCATCCCTCCCCCTCACACACACACACACACACACACACACACACACACACACACACACACACGCACACACACATACACACACACACACA